CCTCTGTTTCTGTCTCTTTAGATTTTGGTTCAGCTTGATTTCACTTTGTTTTATTTGTTTTATTAGTGTTTGAAATTATTATATATATATTTTTTGTAAATAGGAGCAGATATAATATTTTTTCCTCCCTCTGCCGTTCATTTTATTTGCATTGTTTTGTTGTATGTAATGTGTTTTTTAATGAAATTAATAAACTAAATTTGACTTTCTTAAGCCAAATTCCAATAACTTAGGGAACATAATGGATGTTTCGCTTAAACTGGATCGTCAGATAAAGGCAGTGGTGAAATCAAGTTTTTTGGAAAAAGTTATTCGAGTAAATAACTGACTCACTTCTGCTTTTAACACACAAAATGTGGCATCTTTATGTTTCAAATTTCAGCGCCATAAGGCCACAGAGATCTACATCCAAATCAGGAAACTCAAAATATTTTAGTTCTATCAGATTTGCAATTTAGCTTTGATTCACAGCAGACAAAGTTATAAAATAGAGTCATTAGAGATTTTTTCTGTTGAAATCATTTTGTTGCCACTAAATGTTTTATGTTGTGCGTCATGTCAAACAAACCAGTATGTTCTCAGCAAGGAATGCTGGGTAATCTTGTAGAAATGATGTGTTTCTAAGTTTATGACTATTAAAGAAGTTCATGAGAGTAAAAATTAGTTCTTGTTCGGTTTGTTCAAGTTGTTCAAGTATAAGTTTGTGTTATTGACCATAAATGAACACCATGTGTGAGAGGTGTCCTGGTGTGAAGGGTGACTCCAGTATACTTTTCTACTAAAGATGGGATGAATGGCTCTTTGAAGGGATCCGGATCTTGGGGAGCCGTTTGTTTCATAGAGCCGTTTAAAAGAGCCGTTCGATTTTGAACATATTATGTCATCATGTATGGAAATACGTCATCACGTAGCCGTACGTAATGATGTCATCCCATCGCGTGGGTGGAACCATGTGTTTGTCAAGCGGACCCCCCCCCCCTTCCCTGTGAGCTCCTGTACTCCACAACTCCGCCTGTTTCCTGTGAAAAAGCAACGTGGGAGCCATTTAAGGATGAAAAAAATAAAGATTATATGAGGAATAAAAGAAATAAAACTTCAAATGGCTCGTTACTGCCCGCAATTCAGCTCCTATCGTTGGTTGTAAAGAGCCGTTCAAAAGATTTGGATCGTTCACGAAAGTCACATCTCTATTTTCTACTAACTACTGAACAGTGTTAATGCAACACTACAAAGAGTTTGATATTAACTCTGAGTGTTAAATTTACACTCTCAAATATATGCTGTATTGATACCTTGTGGTGTCTGTTAATTTTTTAACACCACAATTTCCTTTGTTAATAATATTACACTGGTGTTACCATTAACACTAACACTATTTTTATGTTAGTTGATTATCAAACACTGATTGGTGTTAAAACAACAAAAAATATTGATATTAAAACTAAACACTTTCACAAATGTTATTTTAACACCAGCGAGTGTGGACACATATAGACACTTTGTTGGTGTTGAAATTAACACTGCGGGTGTTGAAATTAACACTGTGGGTGTTAAATTAACACTGACATTTGTTTCAGCATTCAGTTTTCTGGCTGTACTTTTATTTTAAAAAGGGACATATTAAAACAGACAAACCTCTTAGTTTCTTTTTAACTTTGTGCCATGCTATATCAGATTAGCTGCAGCCTGTTAGCATCTTTAAGGTTCCTCACCTTGATGGCCACCAGCATCTTGTCGCTGTCTGGGCCGAGGTTGGCGCACTCTGCCAGGTAGACCTTACCGAACGCTCCTTCACCGAGCTCCCACTTCAACACGATGTCCTTCTGTTTAATGTGCTGAACACCTGAGCACAGAAAACACAAACATGTTTCTGTTGGATCCAGGAGAACCAAGAACCTGTAAGTTACATTCCCATTAAAGTTAGTAAGTTTCTGTTTGTTTTTGTTTGTTTTTCCTCTTTTTTCCTTTTTAGTTGATCATTAAGGTGTAAAATAGTTATTTATGTATATATGTATTTTTTTAAATGTACGCAGCCGTTATCCATCCATCCATCCATTTTCTTCCGCCTATCCGGGGTCGGGTCGCGGGGGCAGCAGCTTCAGAAGGGAGGCCCAGACCTCCCTTTCCCCAGCCACTTCTTCCAGCTCCTCCGGGAGGACTCCATGGTG